GGGGGGGGGGGGGGGGGGGGGGGGGAGAGAAGTGGAGACCAGCAGGGCTGTGCCAACAATGAAGGAAAAGGATGAACGGCCCGGGGGCCGAGGTCGCACTAGCAAAGAGGATAGGATCAAGCTCATGAATCTGGATGTGTTTTAAGAAGAGATGCAGAAAAGCAGTTCAATCTCGATTTCCTGCACCTCGGCACAAACACATCCAGATTCAGACATTCGATCCGGTCCTCTTTGCTACTACCGGTAGTGGGACCACGCCACGGGAGAGACAGATCATCAAATGAGGCCAAAAGCGGGGGAGACTCCTGTTTTGCAACCTTTGCCCGGGGGCAAGGTCCCACTTGCACAAATTAGGAGATCTCGGCCGTTGATCTTTGCTATCTACGGTCAGTATCTCTTAATTCGTGCAAGTGGGAATGCACCTAGCCCACGTTTCCTTTCCTGTTTGCAGGCGGGCAGAGGATTGTCTTCCTCTGCTCCCCTCCCTCGCCTGTTCTCCATGGCCTCATTTGCGTGATGATCTGTCTCCCCGGGGCATAGGTCCCACTTACACGAATTAAGCGATATTGACCGTAGATAGCACAGATAAACGGTCAGAATCTCGTAATCCGTGCAAGTGGGACCTTGCCCCCGGGCCCAAGTCCCACTAGCAGCGTTGAGCTACCTCAACGCCTGAATCTGGTCCCCCTAGCAGCGTTGAGCTACCTCAACGCCTGAATCTGGTCCCACTAGCAGCGTTGAGCTACCTCAACGCCTAAATCTGGACACTTTTCCGGACATGAGCAGAAATGGTGTTGAGTTTCCTAAAATGCACGTCTCCACAAACACGTCCAGTTTCGGGCGTTGAGGTAGCTCAACGCTGCTAGTGGGACTTGGCCCCCGTTCATACTTTCCCTCCATTGTCGTCACAGCAACGCTCGTCTCCACTTTCCCGCCTATATTGTTCACACTTTCCCGCCATTAATAGGTCACACTTTCCCGCCAATCTTGGTCACGCTTTCCCGCTTAGTATTGGTCACCCGCCATTTCTGTCCGCGGCCTGCAAACAAGAAAGGAAACGGGGGAAGGTTGCAAAACAGCGGCAAGGTCCAACTTGCACGAATTAAGAGATGCTGACCGTAGATTGCAAAGATCAATGGCCAAAATCTCCTAATTTTTGCAAGTGGGACCTTGCCCCAGGAGTTCGAAATCAGTGAAATACAGTGAGTCCAGAGGAGAGGGGACAGGGAGGGGGTTGGGGGGGAAGAGGAGCGGAGAAGGGGAAGGAGAGAGCAATATAAAGAATAAATAAAAAGCGAAAAATAGAGAGAGGGGGCAGAAGAAGTTCAGAGGACAACAATCTTCCTCTGCACGCAAGAACAGAAAGAGAGAAACCCGGGGACGGGAAGAGGGAGAGGGGGGGGAGGGGGGGGGAGGGGGAGTGTAAAGAACATGAAAACATACTCCTTTCGACGTCTCTGGTCGCAATTCGGCGTTCTTTGACCGAAATCGTCACCTGAGGGCTTTCAGGGGGCAAGGTCCCACGTGCACGGTGATTAAGAGATTCTGGCCGTTGATTTTTTTTTTTATCTAAGGTCAATATCGCTTAATTCGTGTAAGTGGGACCTAGCCCCGGGATCCCGCCCGTAGGACCTGACCTGACGATTTCGGTTCCAAAAACACCGAAATTGCGGCCAGGAACGTCGAAGGGGTCACCAAGAAAAAAGGGGCGAGGGGAGGAGGGGAGGCGGGGAGGAGGAGCACATGGTCGATGTGATGAAACCTTCATCGACGACCTTTTGTGTGTGTGTGTGTGTGTGTGTGTGTGTGTGTGTGTGTGTGTGAGAGAGAGAGAGAGAGAGAAAGAAAGAAAGCTCCTTTCTCCGGCGCGCACTCACGCACACGAGCGCAACACACCAACATCGTGATGCCCTGCACGCAAAAGCGTGCAATCTTATAATTAAAAAAAAAACAAAAAAAAAAGCTCAATTGGGACACCGATAGACTGTCAACGGGCTTAAGCTCAGTTGGGACACCCATAAACTGTTGAGATGGGGAGGTGAGTTCGAATCCAGACGGAACCACAGGCGTGGGTGTGTGAGTGTGAGCGTGCACTCACGCACACGCGTGCAAGACTGAATAGCGAGAGGCCTGGCACGCAAAAGAGTGCAATCAGGCGAATAGCGCGCGAGCACAGATCACGTCGCACTGCGGCTGCTACTTACTGCACGTGCGCTATATTTTTTATAAATCCTTGTGGTGCAGCGGTGTATGCTGCATATGCACTTCGCCAACGTCCTCCTCCTCCCCTGGGTGTGTGTGAGAAAGAGAGAGAAACAGATAGCCCCTCCCCTGGGTGGTGTGTGAGCACCACCGCGCGCCGCGCCACCCCCTCGTCAGCATGATGTCTCGCCGTGTGTGTAGGTGCATCCTCACACACTCACATATACATATTCCGGCTCTCTCTCTCTCTCTCTCTCTCTCTCTCTCTCTCACACACACACACACACTCTCTCTCTCTCTCTCTCTCTCTCTCTCTCTCTCTCTCTCTNCACACACACTCTCTCTCTCTCTCTCTCTCTCTCTCTCTCTCTCTCTCTCTCACACACACACACACACACACACACACACACACACACACACACACTCATTACTGTGCTTATGTCCTTGTAGCGGTCTTGTTGTTTTTACGTTTCATCCGTGGCCTAACTAAAGGGTTTGGCATAGACGACTTATCCCGGCGGCAGTCCTCCCCTATGCTCACAGACGAAAAAGCGTCTGAAAGCTCACAGGTTCGGTGGAATAGGGTCTAAAGAGCTTTAAAGAGAGACAGAAGGTGTCCGGGGGAGATATACAGATAGGATTGTAGCCAGATAGGTACGTTAGATAGTTTTGTTTACTGATGGATTCGTACGTTCCATCACATTAGATAGTTTTATTGAAAAGATGGATTACTGCATTCCATCACATTAAATAGTTTTATTGAAAACTTGGAACAGATCAGACGGATAGATAGATAGATAGATAGATAGATAGATAGATAGAGAAAGAGACAGAGAACCGGCAGGAGGTAGAGGGACGAAAAGAGGAGGAAACGGAGTAGGAGAAAGCAGATGAGGGAACACGGAGGACAGGGTCGGCCACCATCGAGCGTGCAAGCACGAGAACAAAGAGAGAACAAAGAGAGAACAAAGAGAGAACAAAGAGGGAAGGGGGAGGAGGAGGACATTAATGACAGGAGGAGGGGAGCACAAAGGAGGGCAGTAACGAAGGAAGAGGATGAGGGAAACATTACCCGTAAGATGATTACAAGTAGGAGGAAGAAGGGGGGAGGAGGAGCAGGAGGAGGAGGGGGGGAGGGGGAGGAGGACAACACGCGCAAGAGGACAAGGGCTAGACGAGGACGAGGACGAGGAAGAGGAAAACAACTCGTCGGGTAGGAAGAACTTACCACTACGATATCTACTCGGCATGTGGTGGTCCTCATCTCCATGCATGTGGTGGTCCCCACTCGCATGGAGAAGAGGACCACCACAAGGTGGGAAAGGCGGCGTGCGGCGGCCCAGACCGCTGGCTTGGGACGCTGTTTGTGAGACGTCGTCGGATATGGAACAAAAAATTGGGTTGGCTCCCCCCGAGGGTGGGTAGCCTAAGCCGTATGTGTTCATTTGGTCCGTACTAGACTATTCCCGTCCTTATCGAGGGAGATGCTAACCATCTCTCGGCTCAACGAACACGATATGGAACAAAAGGACTGCATCTAGCTGTGCCGGCGTCCGCCAACCGAGCAGCCGCAGCGCCTGCAGTGGCAATCATCCTATGTGTGTGTCTGTGTGTGTTGTCATATTCGCTATACACTTAAAAAAAAGCATGACTGTGTAGCTCAGTTGGTCAGGCATGCAAGTGGCATTCATGAGGTTGTGGGTTCAAGCCCCATGGCCGCCTGCGGCGCACTTAGTGCCAACGGACTGTGATAGTCCTCTGGATACCCCTGATCGGTATTAGCGGG